ACTGGGAGAAGGAAGTCTGGAATTATGGTTTTGATTTGGGCCCCTCTCTACACCTATCAGCTGAAGCAGGGCTAAATCCACTCCAGCTGAAGTGGGGCTTAAAAAGGGGAGAAGACTGACCCACACAACTGCTCTTCATATTGTGGCATAAGACAGATTCAAAGCCTGACCTGGAGAGCTGAATGACTAGCTGTATAAACCCCCAAGCCATGTCCATGGGCATTGAATTCTGCACAGTGAAACCATTTCTTCACTCAGCTTTTACAGCAAAGGTTTTTAAACTGATTTTGGATGTTACTCACACATTGATCAATTAGCTGACTAAATGGATTTTGACAGCTGATGACAGTTGGCAAATTAACGTGTTACATTGGATTGCCTCTGCCATGGACAAAAGAAGAGACAAATTGCTTCCCTGAAAGCTGATGCCAACATCAAACTATAAATCAGCCAGCAGGGATGCAGAGCAACCCAAACAGCTCATTCTTTCTCATGACAAAATGAGTGTCACTTCCATGAAAGCTGACGTTTGATCATCCCAGTGTCCAAGCGTGGTGCATAAAGTAGTTACCCAGTACTGTCCTTTTTTGACCCATGAAAAATTAAAGCCCTCTAATATCATCAGCAGCAAGAATTGGCTTACAGTACACTTTCTCTCAGGCAGCTCTTTACAGTCTCCCCTAGAATGGCTGTTATAGAGTCCATTTTTTCTCACTTGCTTCCTCCTCAGGTAAGGATAACCTTGTTTCCTGGTAGCTTTACTCTTTAGCTTCCTTGTAGACTTTGCACTGAATTCTTCTGAAGTTCATAAACATGAAATATTTCCTTCTCCTATGGCAATGGCTTCTTTCTTTTTCCAAATGTTTGACACGTTTTCTTAAATGAAACCCAGGTGAGATTTAAAACATCTGCAGCCCCAAGGCAGATGTCAGAGAAACTTTAACTCTAGCAGCATAAGAACCAGGATTAACTATGCAACTTGTTCAAGGGGTGAAAAAATATCCTGTGCACAATTACATAAAAAGGAACTTGATTAGTTTAATGCAGACAATTGACTATGGAATTCTTTATTATCTACGGAGTGTTTATTTACTTTACTACATATTATCTTTTGGCATTTTATACGTTCAGGTAAAACTGAGAGAGTTTGAACAGCTCTTTGTGTTTCTGGATGTCTAACTGTTTAAATGCACTGAAGTTAATGGTAAAATAAATATTGTTTCTAAGCAGCAACATGTGTTGCAGAGGGGTGTTTTTCACCATACATGAAGAAGAGACCCCATTACAAACCCAAATCTTTGCTTATTCATTGGCCAGTTGTACTATTGTCAGGCACTTTTCCAGTATAACTAAACTGTGAGTGAATGGGACCACCCTCCTTTTGGCTGAAAAGATAATTCATTCTGAATTACTTTGCACCAAGCCAGGATGTGTTGTGGTTTTGATATGTGAGCTTTTGCTTACAGAAGAACACTGAACAATTTAGAGTGCTTAAATGCCTATTGCCGTGTAATGGGTCCAGACTTTAATTCAAGCTCCTAATGTAATTTACAGTGTCATCTGGAATTAGTTATTTTTAGGTAGCCATTTGCTAAGTACTGGCACAGCTAAGTTGCTATGTACAAAACACAAATATAAAAGACAGCTCCTAACCCTTGAGGTTTAAAATCTAGGCTTCAGGCACCATAAAATGAAATGTATGGGGAGAATCCAGGGAGATTGCAAATTTAGATTAGAATGTGCAACCCTTAATTGCAATAGTAAATGTTCACATGAGTAATCCCACTGGAGTCAAAGCCGTTTTCCTTTAAGTTCCTAATTCCATCCCCACCCCCTTTTTCCCCTTTTTTCCCATTTTTTTTTATGTAAGAAACAAAATTCTAGGGCACAATTTAAGACTGTATGCAGTGGTGCAAGGGTACAAGGAGACCCATACTGGCTGCACTCTGGACACAGTCAGGAACATGGGGCTCTCTTGTGCAGAAGTAAAGTATGTTCTCTCCTTCCCTTATCAGGAGAGCACATGTTCTGCTCTCCTCTTTTAAAAGGGTTTGCACAGTGAGCACATGTGCGCACATAAATGCATGCAAACACACAGCAATGCTGTCAGGCATAAAAAATCCAATTCTTGTAAATTTAATCCCTTTCAATTGGAGAGGAATGAAATCCACATCGTTCACATCCCAAGGACGTGTCCTAAGCACCAAATTACAGGGTAGGTTGGTTGGGGCAATGGGAAGCCACCCTGCATCACTCCTGTTGAGGCTAGGACACCATCTCGGAAAGGCTCGTGGGTTAGATCAAGCGAGAGGAGAGCCTGACTCTGCTGTCTAGTGACTAGGATATTTAGCTAGGAAGGGACTTGCTATCTCCCAAGAGTGTTCATGAATTTTCCATTAAACAACCATTGGATAAGAAGCAGAAATAGCCTTGAGAGCAGGGATCAGAAACCAGGACCCCCCTTTCCTCAGTGAGCACCCTGAGCTCTAGACTTTAGAGTCAGGCTCTCTTGGCATGTCTTTCTGCACAGTGACCCAGTCACATGAGAAGAGGTGTTACCTGCTCTTCCTTTCAATTATTCTATTAGCGCACTGTTGATGGAAAAAGATGAGGCCTGGAACCCAGATTTTCCTTAGCCCAGGAGCTCATAAGACTACCATGGTTAAGGCCAGGCACACCAGTTTCTGCAGCCAGTGGCACACATCATGGGAATGAGGCAACCAGCCTCACATCCAGCTGCCTTCGACCGCTCACCCCTGCAACCCAAATGGCCTATTTATAAGTGGTTGACTAGGGGCAGTCTTCAGCACAAGTCCAGAGCAGGGCTTGCATTCATGCTTCTAGAATCATAAAAAGACCTCTTACCTACTCCATCACTGTGCCCTTTCTAAGCTTGGGTATTATATAAAGGGTAAGCACCACTTCTTCCCCTGGTAGCTGTGTTTTTGAAAGAAACTAACTGTTAAATTCACTGGTGTTGGTGTGCATTAAGGACATCCTGAATGCACCTACAGAAATTAGGATCCTCCAGAGAGGCATGGCTCCTCCTAGTTGCTGGATTGCAATAGGAGCCAGGCATCAAACTGCTCAGACCAGGACAGTTGAACAAACATTCAGAAGGCAGAAATGCAGGCAGTGTGGAAACTTTCAGATGAATAGAGGTGCCCACTAAGTTCAGGCACTTCTGAGGATAGCAGCTGCTGAACAGGGGGTTTTTGGATTGCAGATTGCACCTAAAGTCTGCCAAAGTCTGCTTTGGTTGCCTAAGTTTTCATCAATAAAATTCCCCAGGTGCCTGAATGCCTGATGCTGAGCATGTCCAGCCCTTCCTAAATGTGGCAGCACTGAGAAGCTAGATCCATGAACTTTGATGGCATTTACAAACTAGCCATCCCATTGCCTCTCTTACTGGCAGGGCCCAATCCAGTAGGCATTTGGAGCACACCTACTACCGTCAGGCCCTACACAAAACAGCTGATAAAGATGCACCCTTTTTCTGGCCAATGACTACAGTTCTTACCCAGACTCTTTAGTTTTCTCCTTTGTCTGAATATATTAACCCTATATCTCCCAGTTTCCACAAGGTCACTGCAAGGACCAAACTAGAGGGTATTCAGAGGTGTGGTTAGTCTTGTTTTACTTTACATGGATAATTATATATTTGTGGGGCCATAGAAAAGACCATGAAGTGAGAAGAGAGGGGAAAAAAGAGAACCGGAGAGATGAGCATGATGCAAGAACCTAATCATAAGGACACTCACTCCACTACAATGAAAAATTACATAAACTACTCGCACATTTATTAGAGCAGGGTCTGGTGGCCAAGTCCTGAGTTTTGGTTTTGACCTCAAGACCCCCTCTACATGCTACATTTATGGTATGATTAACATGGTGATTACAGCATAATTGACAATAGTGCTATATGTGCACCAATTCAAGGCACAATAAAATAATAAACAAGCCATAAAATTATTCCATATACCAGACCCTGGTGCTGTCCCTGGCTCATTCTGACAATCAGCTGATTGTCAACCCCAGCTCTGGGCCTTTGGACACACAATTTTCAATTTGCTAATGCAGAGGAAGCCCAAAATTATACTCTTGGGCTCCACCTGCACTGGGAAGTTGGGCATAATTGGGAACTGATCCCCAATCCCAGAATCTGGCCTCCTTCCATGCACATGGAAGAGGTGCGATTGTTGGGATCAGATCCCATGATGCATTTAAATGAACATCTGTCAGGGGCCTCCAGGTCAATTTTCAGCGTGTAGCTGAACCAGGAAAAATGAAAATATCCAGATCCAGCACCAAGACACTTTTTCTTTTTTCTTTTAGTTTACCATCACCCTCCGAACTTAGCCCACATCATTTTTGTACTGTTCAACTCTTCTTGATATCAAATGGGGAAGCACAGAGAGGCTGAGAGCCTTAAATCTAGCTGCAAGAGTGTGAAATTACAGTTTCACTCCTTGGAAGGGCAGCACTGCTTTATAATACGGGGTGTTTGTTTTGTGAATTTGTACTGGAAAGTGACATTTCATTTAGCTCATGCCATTTCTGAAATAGCCATAAAAAATGGGAAACTTTTTTTCTGGCAGCTCCAGAGAATGTTACTGTACAGGGTAAACAGTTCGCTCTGTTGTTCATTTGCTAGTGGAGAGATGGTCTGTTGAGCAAGATCCAGAATCAGCAGAAATAGAGGGAGTAATCATTAAACAAACAAATCCATCAGCATAATCAGAAAAACTTCCTCTCTCCAAAAGCATGATAAAGAGAGGATATTTTCCAATCTGTGAGGTGTGCTGTATAAAACAGACAGCTAACCATATGTGGGTTTCTGGGACTCAAGCTGGGGCTCCAGTTTTACTAATCTAATAGATCTATAAACTATAGCTGTACATGTTACCTAACTTGCATAAGGGTTGTAGAGTCTAATCCAGTGTAAAGATAAGTATTTTTTTCATGTGGCTTATTGTCAAATGCTGTTGTATTGTTTTTAGGTTAATATGTTTGTGGAAGGATTCCATGATGCCATTCTTCTCTATGCTCTGGCATTACGCGAAGTCCTGAGGTATGGCTATAGTAAGAAGGATGGAGCAAAAATTATTCAGCAGACACGGAACAGGACATATGAAGGTAGGAATCAATCTAGTATTCCAGATGTCAGTGTCATTACAGTTCAGACTGTGACTCTGTGTACAGCTAAGGCATATATAGGTAAAAAGGTTGGAATATTTGCTTCTTATTAAAACATACACATTTTTAAGATGGCTCAAATAGCTCAGCATTTTCAACATTTTTTCATAACATCCCTACAGGTATTACTTGCTCAGAGGAACTCTTTATAAGTTAATGACCCACACTAGGCTTGTAAAGAAATGCCAGTAATGTTCCCAGACTCCTTCTTTGTTTTTGAAATGATTACAGCAGCCAGCCTTGCTTCATGTGCATCTATTAGCTCTTGAGATTGCTTCATCTTTTCCATTTAGGTTTTTTATCTTAAGACACTGGATTTGATAAAAGCATATGGGTGCCACTTTTTTTGTTGCTGTTCTGAGTCTTGGAGGGCTCCCTGTTTATACAAGTTTTGTTTGTTATCTCAGTTGCAGCCAGCAAATAGGATTGTGGCTTTCTGTCCTTTGTATTTAGGGTCCTGGTTCTATAGCACCTTAAGCAGCTGCATAATTATACACACATGCATGACTCTGGTGATGTCAAGTCACATGTGCACAGTAAAGGCCTTAATAAGGAAACTGAGTGCATCACCAGATCCATCCATCATTTCTTACAATACATTACTCTTTTAGTGTAACATTAATAAGGTTTTCAGGGGAAGTACTTAAGAGAAAGAAAATATTTGCCTTAGATAAGAAATCAACAATTGACTCAAAAATGTAGCAGCAAAAACATACTGACCAGATTCCCAGCTGGGATGATTATGTACTCTGGGCACAGCTGTGGGGAGTGGAAGATGATGACTCCAAGTCACCTTTCTGTTCCCCTGACACGGTGCAAAACAGATGTCAAAATGATCCCCAGCGTGACTTTAAAGGGCCCTGAGGACTGCTCTAAATTATGCTGGCTGCAGGAGTCCTGCAGGAACCCCTGAATTAGCTGAAAATCAGGTAAAGTACAGTATGCTCCACTCCATCCCTTCCCATCCCTGGGACCCTTAAGCACGCTCCCTGAGAATTCCCTTCTGCTAATGAAACTGTTGGCTGCACCTTTACAGCAGCCACTACAAACTGATATTCAGGCACAAAACATCTATCTTATTTTCCCTGTAGTCCTCCAAGAACATGCCAAACATATGCTTCTTCAAGTTTCTTATAAAGACACGTGCTCCAAGCAGTGGGACTAAAGGGATGCACTATGGTGTCTCAAAGCTATGTTACTCATAAAAACAGCCAAGAGAAAAAATTGTTCCTTTTCCTCGCTGGTGAAAACCAGTTCCTTGTTGCTGAATAACCTCTCTTCCATCACAGCCATTTTGAAAATTCAGAAATGTTGAGCTGCCTGGGCACAGCATTGAAAGTCAAAAAGGACACATATGTCCCCCTCCACCTCCTCATCCCACTGTGAGACAAATATTTGTAATTACGGGTCTTATACTGAAAAGGGCCTTCAACTTAGCCTCTTGGTACCTTGGACTCTTGTACTGAAACCAGTGGGACTCCAACCTGGAGCCAGGTGTTCCTCCATGCAGTTTACTGGAGAAATAGGGCTTTCTTCTACGCCTGAAATGTTGCAGGCAAAGGTAATTAGAAATTTAAGTGCTACCATTTAGATTTCTAACCGCGTGGACACCGTCTTCTCTTGGCATGCGTCCATGGCTCCTCACCCTGTAGATGATCTATCAGAAACCCAACTGGACGTGAATGCCGTTTAAAGAAAGTGTTCTCTAGTTCCCTCTCCCTCTCCCCTATGCAGCTTGGGAAATACCTGTGCCTCAGAAAAGCGATTATGACTAGAACTGATCAAAACCATTCTGTTTGCCCGGTTCTTGATTTGAAAATGCTGATTTGACTAAATCAAAACATTTTGAAGTGTGTCAGTTTTACACACATTTTCTCTGAAAAATTATTAAACCAATTCAAAGTATAAATATATAAATGCAGTAGTCAATATGAAGCATTTCACTCTAAGAAAAATACAACAAAACAAGATTGTTTCATTAAATCAGAAGTATTTTTTTAAATGCCTTTTAACATTTTAATTTCCCTTTGGGTCTATAGAAAACATTTTAATGTCAAAATAGCCCAGAAAGTTTTGACCACCTCAGGTGCTGACTTCAGACAATATGATTTTTGGTGGCCTATGCCAGCAGGTTGTGTGTTCTAGTATTTGCCCCCTGTGTTGCTTTAGGGACCATCAGTCAGATGTGATATAACAATTCCCTAATTTCACAGCCTCTCAAACCTAGGCAAGGAAGCTCCATCTCTCTGTAGGAGGCTTCACCTTCAGTAATGTTTACTCTGTAATCCTGCCTTCCATTACAATAACATGAATCAGATTTGTGTTTGCCTACTGTAGATCTACACCTAAAATCAGGATGGTAAACCTTTGGTTAATAGTCCATGTGTCTACAGTTATAATGGGATTAACCTTTTGAAGTTCATACATATTAGTAAACACAAAGCAAAGATAAAGAGAGGCATATTAGTCTACAGAGCATTTAGGATATATGGCTTGGATTCAGTTAAGGGCTTACACTTACAGGTAAGCCTATGGGACTTAAGGAATATTATACTTAAGTGCTTTACTGAATTGGGGTCTTTAAGATAAAAGCCACAGAGACAAATTCTGCAATTACTATGAAGAAGATGAGTTTTAAGTCGGGGTAGGATTTAGTCCAAAACGGATAACACCAACAAACTACATCAATATAAGCCCATGTATCAGTCAAGTAAAGACTGCAGTGAGCCAGATATACTGGCACTCTGGGCTTACCACCACATGGGGCTACAGACTCTGTCCTTGAGCTCTGCTCCAGTAGCTCGGCTTCACTTGAGCACTTCACTCTCTCTATCCCTTGCTTGCTGACTCAGGACTCATCCCTATGTAAATTAATTTGCATGAAATGCATTTTTATTTTTATTTCAGCACTCCAGGTTTCTGGATTAGATTTTTTTCACATATTCCCCAAACAGCCTTACTTTTTTTTTTTTGTTTAAAGGAGAAATGTTAAGAATTTAGGAATGCAGACACTGAGATGAAATTACAATTTCTTTTGGAATGCCAACAAAAATGCTGGGAGACTGATGAGATTTCCTGTCATATCAGCCTGTGAAAATCTGTCCACTCATTTTCTTGTTTTCCTTGGAAAGGTCCGGTATTTTAACTAGTTAATTTTCTAATTCCTCACATGCCATTCCCTAGGCATTGCAGGGCAGGTGTCCATTGATGCCAACGGGGACCGATATGGGGATTTCTCAGTAATTGCAATGACCGACCCAGAAACAGGCACACAGGAGGTAAGGAAATAAATATACTCTCACATGTCTGGTGCTGAGATACCCTAGAACAGTGCCAGTTTAGAGTATCATCATGTCACCTGTTTACTCAATAGACATCTGTTTATTTAAATATCAGTATTAAGACACTAGAACCTAATCCTACAAACCCCAAACCCAAATCCCACTCATAAAATAAATCTTAAAGCACAGATCCAGTTCTACAAATCTGTCTTCACGTGGGGATTACTTGTGGCATTAAGCCTTAACAGGATTAGGCCCTATGTCTAAACTGGTTCACAGGTTTATTAAGGAAGTTACAGTGTGAAATGACTAAGGCTTTGTCTTCGCAGCTAAGAAACAGGGGGATTTTATCCTTGGATAACTAACATGCGAGAGCTATTTTGAGGTTTAAAAAGTAAATATAAAACAGCTTAGTGTTACCCCAAAGTCTACCACAGTGAGATTGTTATGCTAACCCTGCCTTGTCTTCTGTACTAAAATTAAAGTTTCTTGTCTTCTGTATATTTTTAGCTCAGGATAGCTCAGGAGCATAACTTACATTGAAATTAAAATCACAACTTCTGCGGTCATGAAGACGAGGCCTAATGACCTTCAAGCCTTAGAGGAAGGAGAAAAGCACATGTGGATCCATTTCAAAGTAGGAAGGGAAGCTGCCATTTCAGACCACGCAGCAGCTGTCACACTGTCCCTGTTGTGTCGTGGAAAATCTGTGGTGATAGAGGGGAGCTAAATCTCTCCAACTTTAGCCTTGGATGAAGGGGTTTTGCTGCATTTGTACCACTGCAGGCTCCTGCACAGTGTCTGAAGCAGCAGCTCCACCTCTCCTTTAGAAGCTGCTCCATATGAAAATGTCTGTGGATGTAGTCACTCACAGAACTAGTTCTCCTCTGCATTGCTGACTTGAATCAGTTGAGTTGGAGTACGAGTGGCCCCAATGCAAAAGAATGCAGCTCTACAGAGGAACATGATTAGCAACAGAGTGATTGGATTATCAGGAGCTGTTGAGTTGTCCTTACTCAAACTGCAGCTACAACCCCACTAAGGTCCTATTCCAAGTGGCAGCACTATTTGAGCTCTAATCTGTGTCTGACAGGCTAGCCAGCTCATACTTAAAGCAAGCTTTTATACACTGCTATATATAAAAACATTTCCTGTAAATGCATTCACTTGCACTAATGATACAAAACATTGGATCCTTTTTTGGTGTGGATTTCACCCCTGGGTTTACAGCCGCTAGAAGCACTATGCATCATTTCAGTCTTAAGTCCTCAGTACAGGGTTCACAGATTCACAGAAGTTAAGGACTGGAAGGGACCTCAGGAGCTCATCGGGTCTAGCCCCCAAGCTCTGGGCTGGAAAGACTGCAGGGGTCAAATCACTTAGGTTCAAGTAGGACCTAAGTGACCTTTGGCATCTGGAATGAATTTCACTCTGAACTAATATGTATGAGCTACTTGAATAGGGAAAGAAATGATCTGTAATTGAAACCCAGCAGAGTTAATAGTAATTCTTCCCATTAAGATAAGCTTCCTTGGCAGTTGTGCATGGTGCACGAGGGCAGAATCTGGCCCTTTATCTTCAGTTTGTTTTCTGCATGAAGTGTATGCACATTTTGGGGACTGATTTCAGTTGGGTCACCCATTTGCAGGATTTACACTGGTACTTTTGTATTCAGTGACTGAAATATATGGTGCTGACAGATGTGCAGCTCCCCAGTCTAACTCATGATGCTTCACAGAAAGTGCCATGAGTTAGACCTAACCTCCCAACCCAACTAACATTTGCTGTTGGGTCAGGAGGGTGGGGAATTGAGCTCCATTTTGGAGCCCTCTTTTCTAGTTTTTCCCTACCCCACCAACTCTGGTGCTATCTGCACAATGGGAGGGGGGAGAAGGGAAGGGAGAGAGCTCAGGCTGGGGTTTGCCTAGTCAGCGCTGGACAGAGGGTGGGTGGATTGAAGAGGGGGCTTCCAGGTGGGGGAGCTCCAATCCATCCACCCTCTGTCCAGGGCAGGCTGGGCAAACCCCAGTCCAAGCTCCCTCCCTTCCCTTTTCCCCACTCCCATCATGCAGGCAGCATCAGGGGTGGAGCTGAGCTGCATCAGCCCAGTCCCAATCAGACAGAAGTTAATGAAGGCACTGTGCATCAGAGCACTTTCATCTGAACTCTCATGCAATGAGGACTAATTTGTCATGTGATTGGGCTCTTTTAAAGCACTCCACAGCCATGCTCTTCTGTCAGGGCATGGCTGTAGAGCACTTTCAAAGGGCTGATTGCATGACAAATGTCACTTCTCTCTGTGCCCAGAATGAAGTGCCTGTCCCTCCAACTGCTGTACCTGAGTACTGGTATAGATCCGGGATAGAGAGACCCCGAGTTATGCTCACAGTTTATTTTGTGGATGCATATTGCATAAATGGGGGCAAAAAAGATTTCTGTGTGCATTTTTTTAAGGAGAGAGAAGCAGCCCTTTGTGGTATCTTAAGTTAATAGACAAGTCGGGCCTAGTTCACCATGGAGTTACACCCACTGTTGTGCTGGTGAAATAAACAGGAGTGATGCAGGCCCAACCATGCTTTATTTGAACATGCCATATATATTTCTCCAGTGCATCCAATAAAAGGCTAAAACTAACCTTGGCTACAGTTTTAAGGGCATTCAGAACCCTATCCTGAATGTTGTAACTCTAGCAACTCAATTTAAAATTCTGCATATAAAGTATGCATGCTTGTAGACCTCTCTGAATCTTACAAAAGGAAATGAAAAATCAGGTACTCTAAACATCACTTTAAAACTAGGCAAAATTTAGTGGGCTTGGCTGCATTTCCTTTTGAATTTTGGGTTAATTTAGCTCTAAAAAGGGGGACAAGGTCATGCGAGCCAAAACCATCAAAAGGTTTGCACAGACAGCAGCAAAGCAGAACAGCCTCATTACAGGCAGGTCTGACTGCCTCTTTATAGTCAAATACAGTAAGGGTATAAAGTAATGTAACAATTGTATTGATATCAAAGAATACTGATACAACCTGCAATGCAGCAGAACAGCTGGAACTTTAACGCTGCTTCATTCAGAGTCTAAGTTAGGACATCTCAGATCATTTTTTTGACTAGCCTCACAGTTAGACTGTAGTAAGCTGATGGACACTCCAAGCATCAATTCCCCCTCTCCTTTTAAAGCAGCTAAAAATGTATGTGCATCCATGCCCTAACAAATGCAAACAGAAAAATCC